GGGATTGCTTGAGCCTGGAAGATCAAGGCTGCAATGAGCAGTGTTTGCTCCACTTCACTCAAGCCTGGGTGACAAAGTGAGACCCTGTCTCAAAACAAAACAAAAAGAAACAAAAACACCCCAAACCATATTCAGTGCCAAATGCCAAAGCCCAAATAGATTCTATAAATAAGAACATACAGGCTGGGCACGGTAGCTCATGCCTATAATCCCAGTACTTTGGGAGGCGGAGATGCGTGGATCACCTGAGGTCAGGAGTTCAAGACCAGCCTGGCCAATATGGTGAAACACCATCTCTTCTAAAAATACAAAAAATTTGCCAGGTGTGGTAATGCAATCTGGCTACTTGGGAGGCTGAGGCAGAATTGCCTGAGCCCGGGAGACAGAAGTTGCAGTGGGCTGAGATTGTGCCACTACTTTTCAGCCTCGGTGACAGAGACTCCATCTCAAAAAAAAAAAAGAACACATATATATTTCTCCATCATTTACTCTTTGGTCTACGGTTTAACAATGTTGAATCTACCTAGCAGCTGCTTCTATGACTAAATGAATAAATGACATTTCTGGTATCACAATGATTACACATTGTTCTGAAATAATGGGGTAACAACTGTTAAAAGGGGAAGAGTAAAACAATAAAACAATGAAATATATACAAAACAGAACTACAGAAATAAAAGGCAGAAATGAACAAAAGCAACCAGTTTAAAAATCAAGTCAGGAGAGGAGAATAAATCATATTCTTTCTTCAAGGCTATTTATTTATTTATTGAGACAGGGTCTTGCTCTGTTGCCCAACGATCTCAGTTCACTGTAACCTCTACCTCAGAGGTTCAAGCAATTCTCCTGCCTCAGTCTCCTGAATAGCTAGGACTATAGGCACGTGCCACCACGCATGGCTAATGTTTTGTATTTTTAGTAGAGATAGGGTTTCACTATGTTGGCCAGGCTGGTCTCCATCTCCTGGCCTTGTGAGCCACCTGCCTCGGCCTCCCAAAGTGCTGGGATTACAGGCATGAGCCACCGTGCCCAGCCTCAAGGCTTATGTCGATTCTTATGAAACCTCAAATTCCCACAATCCTAAAACATGTATTTAAATAAAAAACCGATTTTTAAAAATGACACATTTGTTTCAGTGGGAAAATAAAAAGAAAAAAAAAAAACGATTTTTGATTTTTTTTTTCCAACTGAACAGTAACACATGTATCTAAATATAAAGACAGCTAGAAAATATATGTCTTATTGTTATTTTTTAGTCTCTGTCGCCAGGCTGGAGGGCAGTGGCATGATCTTGGCTCACTGCAAACTCTGCCTCACAGGTTCAAGCGATTCTCCTGCCTCAGCCTCCCGAGTAGCTGGGATTATAGGCGCGCACCACCACACCCAGCTAATTTTTGTTTTTTTTATGTAGATGGGGTTTCACCATGTTGGCCAGGATATTCTCCATCTCTTGACCTCATGATCCACCCACCTTGGCCTCCCAAAGTGCTGGGATTACGGGCGTGAGTCATTGCACCAGGCCTGTTTTATTATTTTAAGAGAAAAGTATAAACTCACTAAAGAAAATTTAGAATATAAGAAAAATAACCCTATTCCCCATTGGAAACTATTGTTCAACCATTTAAAAGCCTGGCTGTCAGAAAGGATTTTTACCAACTTCTAAAAGAATGGAGAGGAAAGAAAAACTTGGCAATATTCCTAAATGAACGTTCAAACTCTTTCTTTCACCTTTCTTTTTAGAGTTAGGAAGTGACATTTTACCCAAAGGAATAAGAGTATATTTGGTTATAGGTAGTGCTGGTTCAAGAGTCACAAATGCCACACATGTAATAAATGCTTGCTTTCCCATGGGGAGGTGCAATAGGAAAACAGGTTTTAGCTTTACCTGTTGAAGCAAATATTTGAACTGTACACTGCAGATTGATGAATGCTACTGGAGAAGTAACATAAGGAAGTCTGGAGTGAGGGAATCACCACCCATTGTCCTAACATATGCACATTTCTATTCCTTTCTTGTCTTGAAGGCATATATATTGCCCAAATAGACTAGATTCCAACAAAATTTCTACTTTAGCCTAGACACTGTACTAGCTCCTACTTCTCTAAGTTGTTACATCTGCAGAATTTGATGGGATACCCGGTTCACAAAGTAATACAAATCATAATGTATAATAAGTCTCTTTACAATTACCTTACTGTGTATTGTTTTAATTTCATATACATAATAAACAGGCAGTTCTGCTTCAGAGATGTTACATATCAGCAACTATCCTACTAATAAATGCAATTTGGCAATATGTAAATAGCCTTAAACTGTGTGAAGAAAACCAGAACATATCACTCCACAATATGCCTCTTTGACATAGAAATTATTTTTGAGAGGACAGACATGGCGGCTCATGCCTGTAATCCCAGCTACTTGGGAGGCTGAAGCATTAGAATCGCTTGAACCCGGGAAGCAGAGGTTGCAGTGAGCTGGGATCGCGCCGCTGCACTCCAGCCTGGGAGACAGAGCAAGAATCTGTCTCAAAAAAAAACAAAAAAGAAAAAAGAAATAATTTTTGAGCTGTAGACAATTAGGAAGCAGCAAACAGAAGAAAAGCTCTCTCTATTCCCCCCCTTTTCTGCCTAAAGGTAAAATATAACTTCTCCTTTACACACAACTCTATAGACTTAATGGCCCAGAGACAGCACCAGAGGAGTCTGCAAACAAACCTTACTCCATTAGTTTCCTCCCAAATATTTACCTTCCCAGTTTCCTATCCTTGGAAGCCTAAAATCTCTTTTCTGTGTTCTGCCCTTTTTCCATAAATGTATTGTTCCTTGTCAAAGATGCTACATAAGCCATATGTGGCATCTGAGCCATTGCTTTGAGTTACTTTGCGTTGAGGTTTCTCCCATGTGATGTATGCCACACACATTAATAAACTTGCTTTTCCCTTGTTAATCTGTCTTTTGTTTTTTTGTTTT